CAGATAAGAGCTGGTAACACAGGGAATCAAGGACAGATACCCCCCAGGACCAATATTGAGAGTAGTGATACCAGGAGGGTAACAGGAATGTGGGGGTAGAAAGGGGGAACCGATCACAATGATCTACATATAACCCCTCCCAAGGGGATGGACAACCGAAAAGTGGGTGAAGGGAAAATCGGTCAGTGCAAGATGTTTGAAATATAGTGAAAAAATAATAATTCACAAATGATCAATTGTTCATGAGGGAGGAAGGGGGAAAATGAGAAGCTGATACCAAGGGCTCAGGTAGAAAGAAAATGTTTTGGCAACAACAAATGTAAAAATGTGTTTGACACAATTGATGGATGCAAGTATTGTGATAAGAGTTGTATGAGCCCCCAATAAAATGATTTTTTAAAATGATGAACACCATAAAAAGAAATGTAACTAATGCAACTGAGGAACTAATTCTTTATTTCATTAATTCAATTTAAATTGAATTCAAATTAAATAGCTACATATCTCTAAAAAGAGAGAGAGAGAGAGAGAGAGAGAGAGAGAGAGCGACGTAGAGTCAAAGGTTGGGAAAAACTTACCAAGCTAATGGGAACAACAACAAAAGTAGTGGCAATATTAATCTCTGACAAAATATACCTCACGGTACACAAGATATTGAGAGATAAGAATGGCATTACATAGTGCTCATAAAGTCAATACATCAAGAAGCCATAGCCATAAAAACTTATATGTGCACAATGAAAGTCTCTCAGAATTCACCAACCATATCCTCAAAGAGATGAAAGGAGAAATCACTGTATCAACAATTTTCGTAGATAATTTTAATACACCACTCTCAATGAAAGATAGATCAACAAGTAAGAAACTTTACAAAGGAATGGAAGAGATGAACAAGACCATTGATCAACTTGACCTCATATTTATAGAGCAAAAAAACCCTTCATCAGCCAAAAAAAAAAAAAACACATTCTTCTCCAAATGCACATGGTTCATATTTTAGAATAAACTGCATACTGGGACATAAAGCAAGCTTGAGAAAATTCAAACACATAGAGATTATTCAATCCATCTTTTCTTATCACTGTGCTATTAAGCTGGACATCAACAAGAGAAAGAACAGAAAAACAAAGGCACTAACTTGGAGACTCAGCAATTCACTTCTCAAAAAAGGAATGGATAATAAAAGAAGAAATTAGGAAATGCCTAGAAACTAATGAGAATGATAAAACAACATACCAAAACCTATGGGACCAAGCAAAAACAGTTATCAGAGGTCACTTTATTGCAATAAATGCACACATGAAAAAAAAGAGGTGAGAGTCATGGTCACTTCCTTAACACAGCACTTCCAACAATTAGAATTAGAATAGAGGCAACAGCATAATCCTTCCAATAGCAAAAAAAGGGGGGGGATCATAAAATTAGAGCAAAAATAAATGAACAGGAAAACAGAAGACAATGGAAAAAATTAAAACAAGAAAGTTGTTTCCTTGAAAGGATTAACAAAATCAACAAACTGCTAGCAAATTTAACAAAGGAAAAGAAGGACCAGACGCCAATACAAAGAATTAGGGATGAAACAGGGGAAGTCACAACAGACCATAATGAAATAAAAAGATTAATTAAGCAGTAGTAAGAAAGACTGTATGCTAACAAATTCGATAACTTAGAGGACTTGAACAAATACCTAGAAAAACCTTCTTTTCCCAAATAAATGCATATGGAAATTAAGAACTTGAGAAGACCCATAGAAAAAGAAGAAATAGACAAGGTCATCAAGAAACTCCCAACTGTGCACAAGAAAATGTGAAGAAAGCGGATGATGCTTGGCTACCAAAAGATATAACACCTGAAGCCTTAAAGACCTGAAGATGAACAAGCACCATCTAGCTGAGAGACAACAAAACCCACATGGAAGAAGCATACCAGCCTACCCCTACTCAACCGCTGAGGACATAGGGGGTGTATTAGCAAAAGTGGGGAAGAAAGCAGTTGGTCCCCGACTATCAAATGATACAGCATCTGGGGTCTTACAGGCTTGAAGACAAACAGACGGCCATCTAGCTAAGAAACAACAAAACCCACAAGGAAGAAGCACACCAGCCTACCCCAACACGAATGCTGAAGACAAAG